TATATATATATATATATGAGTTTGTGAATGACTCTACAATATATAGAACATAGTAGATGTAGGAGTTAAACCACCACATGAAGCCCTGATGAAGGGGGACTGTTTTGGATCCAGAAACACGTTGACTACTTTACTTGAATGTCCCCTGACCATAATGGAATAAAGTTGTATCTCAACTATTTTAATTGATGTGGCGCTTCAATTGCTGCATCTACTGTGTTCACTGTCAGGTGTCAGGTCAAGGATACTATGATGATCATTCGGATTGCCGAAACTGCCAACCCATTAGCCAGATCACACATATTCACATCACTTAGCTACTAATGAATGAGAAACACCAAGAGAAAACCTACATGGGTGCAACTCTCTCTCCCCACACTTGCACATATCTCTACAATATAGTGGGCTGAATGATATCTAAGTAGTTCATTTTTATAGCCTTACAGCGCTAGGATGTGTATTAGGTTCCAGTTAGAGTCACGGCATGGAGTTTCTACGTTCTCCCTATGTTTGTGTGGCTCACGGCTAAATTGGTCCTAATTCTGTATCTGGAAGTGAACTGGTCACCATACTACAGGTCAGTGCGACAGTGCTAGTCAGAAATGATAAACGAGCACTTGTTTCTTTTATTTGTGAAATGCTATAGTCTGTAAATACGCCATTTATAACCAATTAATAATGAATAAAATGCAGATTTTTGTATCTTTAAATAAAAAACAAGTCCTGCTTGTACATTTTATTTAGACTGTTTTATGAGTAAAACTAATACCTCAAAGTGTGAAACTTGTGTTATTGGCTGCCATCTGTTATATAAACTGTGAAGACTAAATGCTACATGAAAACCACATGTTTGTAACAGCATACTGTCATATCATATACAGAAGCTCTACTTTTAAGTGCAAATAAGCTAGTTACCTTAAAATATTACTCAGCTGAATAATTTAGATGCTTTACGCTTACTTTGGAAATACTGCCAGCATACAGTACAGCCCAGGAATTTAAACTAAAAAGAATACACACAACTGGTGAAATAACTTCATAATCTGTCTTTACTTTGGAAGAAAATGTTAAGATTCTTAAAATTTGGCCTATAACCATTACTTTTGCCATATCTACATGTCCGCTTTAAGACTAATAATCTCTGCTTACTCGTAGAGGTTATTAGAGACATGATAGGAAACAATGTCTACTTTCACAAGTTCCATCCCTTATTCCCTATGGAATACAATTTAGCTTTAATGCTACTTTAAAAAAAGAAAATAAATATATACTAAAATCAAGGATATACAGACTGTTATATTCCATTCTCTGCAGATGTCAGTTAGCCATCAGATCTTTAGCACAGAACTTGCCAAAGAGTGAGACCTTGCTACAGTTTAGACATGTCTGATTCGTTTCGTTCCGAATCGAAATTCGGATGAAATTTCGGAAATTCATGGATTCAGACATTTCGGATTCGGAATTTCGGATTCAGGACGAATTTCGTCCTAACAGTAACTAAATTAGAAATTTACGATAATTACCTAAAAAAGAGGATTTCATAGCATGTGAAAATAAAAACAAAACATTACTTCATGTTCCTGTGCATGCACCGTCAACGTTTAAACGGATACAAAAATAAGAAAAGGATTTTAATGTCCCTTTAATAGTGAAGACTAGAGCACAGCAACCAGAAATGTCAACTGTGCCAATTCTGCTACGTACGTGCGTACGTACATTAGTCCCTGATTAGCGCAAAACCCCAAATTTCGGAAATTCGGCCGAATTCCGAATCTGAATTCCGAATCCGATCCGAATTCGTATCTGATCTGAATCCGAAACCCAAAATGAAACACATACAGGACCCGATTTCGGAAATACAAAATAAACGAAATACGAAACGAAATGAAACTAAACAAATTTTTTGCGGCTGCACATGTCTACTACAGTTATGAGATCATTCCTCCCAAAGCTGACATTTAGTGAGGAGGATAGTTGTCTGGGTCATAAATCAGCTTCTAAAATAACCAATAATTATGGCTATTACAATCTTGCTTAAGTCTTCCTGTTAAACTTCCATATTCATGATATCATTGATAAAGCAGCAGAAGGTGGGGGAAGAGGAGCTGGATTCTTTGCCTGCAGGGACCTCGGGGGACGGCTCTCCGATACGTCAACTCTCCAGCACTATCCATAAGCAAAATAGAGCTGCGTTTCTAGTAACAAACACTTGAATCACTTACTGTATCTCTTTGGTCCATCTTCTAAACAAAATGACAGTGTTAACGTTGCATCATCTTCAAAAAATTCTGTTGTAAAGGCATCCCACCAAAGATTGTCACTATCCTGTGGAGGAAATAAAAACTCTTACTGACAAATTGGAAACATTGCTGCAAAAAACTGTACACATGCAAAATGAAAATAAAATGATACAGTGCTTTCACACATAGCACACACATTGGTGTCTCATCGATGGGGTTGATTTTTTAAAGGGAAATAGGCTGTTCACTTTGCAAGGGAATTTTCCCTTAGCGTACTGAATAAGGTGAAAATTCATTTGCAAAGAATAGGTAATCACATGCAAGGAACACTTGAACACGATTGGATCATAGAAGTCAGCAGAGTTTTACTTCATTCAACAAACTAATAGAAAATCCTCTGGTGAATAGCCTATTTGCCTTTAGTAAATCTCACCCCAATGTGTCTGTAAACGAGAATGAAGAACCAAAATGCACTCTCACACTATTCACTACATAAGTGTGTGTGATGCTCACTGCTGTGGCAGTGCACATACAGCTAATTCACTAACCAACATAGTTTGCTAAGCAGCATACCCTCCAGTGTCTGAATGTATGCCATCAAACTGGTGGCAAACCCAGAATCAGAATCCAAACCCAATATTTTTAATTCACGCTGTAAGAATAATGTGTAAGGTGATAGTAGCCATGTTAGTGCACTTGTAGTAACACAGTTGAGCACTGTACATGACATTTTATATATTTGCACCAGATAGGGGCTGATTTATAAATGTTCTGACCAGCATGTAGCTGGGTGAATGCTGTTTGCACTGCACTAGCGCCACTAGATGAAGTTGAGGAGCTTCGGAAATTCCTCTGTTTCTCAGCACCATCTATAAATGCTAGTGCTGTACGAATGGCAAAAAAAATTTTAAGCGAGATGCCACACTCCAGAGTCCACCACCAACAACAAATTTTTAAACCACAAGGAAAGGAATAACGCGTTTCACCCATCAAGAGCCTAATTTTAGAGACATTGATGTCTCTATGATTAAGCCCTTAACGGGTGAAACATGTTAGAGTTGGTGCCCTCTAGATGGAGAGTCTCAATGGACTGGATATTCTTTTCCTTGTGGATTAAAAAATTGTTGTTGGTGTACTCTAGTGTGCGGCTTCTCTCTTTGGACTATTGCTCTAAAGTGTGGAAGGCCCCAGTCTACACCCATACATGCCCGGGCACCAGAGGATTGCTGTTCGACGGAACAGTGACATTTCTCTGTATGTAAAACTATTTTTTTGTGTTGGATAGTATGGGGAAGGATTGTAACTCCTTTCTAGTTTTGGATGCTGTCCGGGGCTCAGTTATAGATTACTGTTCTACTGTTCAAAGCCCATTTCGTGTGCACCTTACTGTATAACTGGTAACAAATTGTTGAGTGCGTTTGTCGTTTGTTTTGCTTCAGTTATAGAGATTTCCCTTCAGAGTTTTTGCTATAGATACACTTAAATTTTTTAGGGCATGCTTTTAGGGGTCCCAAAGAAGGGGGAAGACTCCTGAAAGTTTATCTTGAACAATTAACTGTTAATGCCCATGAAAAAAGTAACATGAACAGTTCTCAACTGTGTCATTAAAAAATAATGAATGTAAATAAGTTATGGTGCATGCTTTGGAGAGGAATCACATTGCAGATGCGCATACATTTGTTCTTTGGCTCCAGGAAGCATGCATATACAATTTCAAACCCTGCTGCTTGTAAATTCTTGTTGTAATGACTAATTCCTGCTCTTACATTGCCTTGTTTGTGG